AAATCCCGAGTACTCCAAGGCCTGTGAAGTGTTGTCCTCCACACATCACCTTGTTTTCCGTGCCTGCCAGAAAACTAGGTAGCTGCCTGAGATACCATTTACATTGTTTTAGAACCCCAATAATTGTCCTTTGTGCCAGAAGACTCCAAATTCTCCACAGCAGTTTGCGCCCAGTTTGTTAAATTAATCATACATTAAGTCTTTGTAAATCCAAGTAGTCTCTGAGGCTGGCGGCACTTGCTCATGTATATTATCTCTGGAGAAAAAAATAATTCAATAGCTAATATGTAGCCATGCTGGGCATGCTGGCACACACCTATAGTGCCAGCACTCACAGTTAAGGCTAGCTATAAATATGAGGCCAGACTGGACTTGGAAGAGACAGAGACACATCATAGGACATATAATGCATGTTCTAGAAGCATTTGGCTTGTCAAACAGGAAACAGAACAGTTGTCAAAAGAGACCTAGATTTAGAGACCTGAAAGTCTGAGCAAAATCATCCTTAACAATACTGTTAAAAATTAAAGAGGTGTGACAACTTGAGTCTGAGATGTCCCCCAAAGCTTATATGAAAGGGACGTGGTTGCCAGTTGATGTGTTTAGGACCTAAATGATAGGTTACTCCCCTAATGGTGTCACAATATGATGATAATGTAAGAATGTGAACAATGGTTGGGAGAAATGTCACTGAAGATTTCTTATCCCTGAGTCAGTGTGTTCTTTTCCTCTCTTCATCTCCTTCTGCCTATCACTTTCCTTCTCCATCCCTACAGCCCTCTCCCCTCCCTCTAGCCCTACAGCCCACTCCCCTCCTCTCTATCCCTACAGTCCTCTCCCCTCCCTCTCTAGCCCTACAATCCTCTCCCCTCCCTCTCTATCCCTACAGCCCTCTCTCCCCTCCCTCTCTATCCTTACAGCCCTCTCTCCCTCTCTATCCCTACTATCTTGAAATGAGCAGCTCTGTCCCTCCACACCCTGCCTGCCATGATGCTTTTATCACAGGCCTACACAATGGGACCAAGGACTTTGAGCATAAATCTCTGAAACTATGAGCAAAAACAAATCTTTTCTCCCCTTGAATTGCTTTTCTAGATATTTGTCAGAGTGACAGATAGTCTGAGTGACTAACATAAGGGGATACCCTGCTGATCCCATCTCTCTATAATTTATTATCTTTATTTCTTACAGATACAGAAGGGTCAAGTGTTAGGGTGCCATGACACTTCGATAGACATACCTATTGTCTAATGCTTAAATCTGACTACATAGCCAGGTACAGAGGCGCAAGCCTTTGGTCACAGCACTCAGGGAGGCAGGGGCAGGTGGAGTTCTGTGAGTTCAAGGCCAGCCTGGTCTACAGAGCAAGTCCAGAAAAGTCAAGGCTACACAGAGAAACCCTGTTTTAAAAAACAAAAACAAAAAAAATCTAATCACATTAATTTATCTCAGACAGCATTTTTATGGTGAAAACACACACTTTTCTATAGCTTAAAAAAATACAGTACATTATCATCAGTGGCCATATAGTTAAATAAGCCTTCACCTTGTAAAATTATGTTAAAGGTTATGAAATATTGTAACCTTGATTTCTAGCATTTTTCCTAGACAAAGTTTATGCAAATTCCCCTATCAGTTATTTCAGGGGTGTTCTAGATAAAACCATCTTGAGGTTCTTCATAAAAAGTGGAAGCTGTAGGCAGGTGGTGATGGCTTATGACTTTAATTCCAGCACTCAGGAGGCAGAGGCAGGCCTCATACTTTTGTTTTTGTTTTTGTTTTGTTTTGTTTTGAGACAGGGTTTCTCTGTGTAATAGCTCTAGCTATCCTGGAACTCACTCTGTAAACCAGGCTGGACTTGAACTCACAAAGATTTGCCTACCTCCACTTCCCAAGCGCTGGGATTAAAGGCATGCACCAGCACCACCTGGCACCTCACACTTACGGTCACAGAAGTACATTATTCTATACAAACTTCCTCGACGATTTAAAAAAAATCCATCTTTATTCTTGGCAGGGGCATAAGATACATTAACTATAACTACAAGGTGGTGTACAGGCCTGGCAGCCTGAATTTAATCCCAGAACCCAAGTAAAGGTAGGAGAGAACTGAACCCACACGTCTGTGTTCCGGCCTTCACATGCATCATACATACACAATAATGATAATTATTAATTAAATTTTTGACATATGGTCTCACAATGTATCCCTGGTTGGCCCCGAACTCACTGAGCTCTGCCTGCCTCTGCTTCCTGAGTGTTATCATTAAAGGCACTCACTACCACGCCCAACTGATTGATTTTAGAAGATACTACAACTCAATTTCTTTGGTTTCATCAACATGTCTCCAGATTAAGAGTCATTTCTGGGGGCTGGAGAGATGGCTCAGTGGTTAAGAGCACTGTCTGCTCTTCCCAAGGACCCGGGTTCAATTCCCAGCACCTACGTGGCAGCCCACAGCTGTTTATAACTCTAATTCTAAGGGACTTGAAATCCTCACACCAATGCGCATAAAATAAAAAATTAAAAAAGGAGTCACTTCCTCTGAGAAACTTCACTAAGACCACTGACTCCTGTACATTAATCGGCTGCTCCAAGACCGATAGCAAATGCTCTTGTACAAAACAGGAGGCCGAACGACTAATTGATAAAATGCTAGCGTTTTTGTACTGCTTTTATATCGTGCCCTGGGTTTCATTATTTGGTCACATCTCTTATTTCCTCATCACCCATGTTGGTGACCCTGGCAAAGAAAGATACTGGGTGACCATTCTGTGCCACGAACTTGAAGAGCGGTGGGTATCCATCCGTGAACAGACATGGCCTATCATGCCTCTCCCAGTTAGCAAGCCAGTGGCAGGGACACAGAAAGTGGAAAGGAGGGTTACAGTACCGGCAGTGTTCCTTGGCACTGCTGAGTGCCCACCTGGGGTTGGTTATAACGAATTCACAGGGACATCAAATGATGTACTGCTGAACCACCTCCTCAGCACAGGTCTGCAGCTGTTTCTTTTTACATTTATGTACTTGGGGATGAGGGGCACGTTCATGCTGAAGGACAGCTTGGCCGAGTAAGTTCCTTCCTTCCACAGTGTGGACCCTGAGACTGAACTCAGGTCATGAGGCATGGCAGCAAGCACCTCCACCCATTGAACCACCTCACTGGGTCCCGATACTAGGCCATTAGAGATGAGAAAATGTACAGACAGGCACTGTTGAACAACTCGCCAGAGTGGCTGCTGTGATATTAGCAGAATGACAAGACATGAGAGAGAAAAAGTCAAGTGCTAAAATCTCTCCTCTGTGGAGGATGGCCCAGAGCCACTCTGACAGATGCCAGCAGATGGTTTCTGTGTCAAAGGAACAGGGGATTTGTTTACAGCAAGGATTGGAAGGGGTAACTGGGGTCAGGGTGGGGTGTTCCTGAGGCCAAGTCAGAGAAGATGCCTTTGAAAGTGGGTGAGATTGCACCTTCAAACTGCGAAAGATCCGCAGGCTTCTCCTACATGCAAAACCAGTGGGGCTGAGGATATAACTCACTGGTAGAGAACATGCTTATCAATGAGGACTTGGGTTTAATCCTTAACCCCTAAAGAGAGAGATAACTGCAGATAAAGAAAACCTGGCTCTCCCCTTTGGGAAAGACGGGGGCCGCTGCTAAGAGACCGAACCCTGAATTCCAGTCCTATTATAATGTTCTTTCAGGGTTCTGTATTCCCCTTTGCATTCTGGCCAGTGGATAGTCTCATAGCTAGTAATTCCCCTCTAACATACAAAATTGGGATTTTTTTAAAAATACGCAAGTTGCTAGAAAACATGGTGTTTCCTACAATGTAAGGGATGTTTCTGTATGTGTGTGTGTATATACATACATATATGTATCTACATATCATATATATATATATATATATATATATATATATATATATACACACACACACACATATATCATGCAAGCATTTCAGCATTGAATTTTCCTTTTTTGGGTTATAACTCATTTTTTTAAATTTGGTAACTTAAACATTCACTAAAATAACATAACCCTAAATATCTCGGTGATTTAATGAAGTCAAATTTGTTCGTATTGCATCCAAATTGTGTTGGAAAATTTCATTTCTGTTGTTTGTGTTGTTGTTGTTGTTTGTTTTATTGAGACAATGTTTCTCTGTGTAGCCCTGGGTATTCTGGAACTCACTTTGTAGACCAGGCTCACCTTGAACTCACAGAGATCCATTTGCAGAGGCCTCCCAAATGATAGGATTACAATTTTGAGCCACCACACCAGCTTTTGTGTGTGTGTGTTGGGGGGGGAGGGTAGGGCTCAAGACAGGGCTTCTCTGTGTAACCTTGGCTGTCCTGGAACTCACTGTGTAGAGGAGGCTGGCCTCAAACTCACAGAGATCTGCCTGCCTCTGCCTCCTGAGTGCTGGGATAAAAGGCATGCTCCATCATGTCTGGCTTTTTTGTTTGTTTGTTTGTTTTTTAACATGAGTTCTAGGGACCAAACTCAGGTATCCATGTTTGCATGGCAAGCACGTTACCAACTGAGTTCCAACCTTGAATTTCTCATCCTGCTACCCTCACCTCCTGAAGGATTACAGGAATGTGCCACCATATATGTCAGAACTCAGGACTTCCTGCATGCTAAGCCCCTCTTCCGAGTTACAGCTCTCGTCCCCTATTTGTCTGTCTGCTTTTAACTCAATTTGGAGGAACTCTTCTATCAAATGCTTAAAAATAAGTGTCCATAAGACACTGCAAGGTGACATATACTATATAAGTTCTTAGGCATCTAAGAAACACAATTTTAATATTCTGTCAGTATATGAAATGTGATGTGTTAATCTCAGAATATTTTCATTCACCTAAGACACTTCATATTGGATTTATAAATTCTAGTTAAATGACATTAAGGGATCTTCAAATTTTATTTTGGTGATTCGTTATTCAATGGGGGAGGAAAGGGCATTGTCCTCACGCAACTTTTCTTATTTTTCAGATCAATAACTCGATCGTATTACCGCAACTCAGTTGGTGGATTTTTAGTATTTGACATCACTAACCGGAGGTCTTTTGAACACGTGAAAGATTGGCTAGAAGAAGCAAAAATGCACGTGCAGCCTTTTCAGATTATGTTTCTCCTGGTGGGACATAAATGTGATTTAGCTTCACTTCGGCAGGTTTCAAGAGAAGAAGCTGAGCAACTGTCAATAGACTGTGGAATGAAATATATAGAAACCTCAGCAAAAGATGCTACAAATGTTGAGGAGTCCTTCACAATCTTGACAAGAGACATATATGAACTTGTTAAAAAAGGAGAGATTTGTATTCAGGATGGCTGGGAAGGGGTTAAAAGTGGTTTTGTTCCAAATACTGTGCATTCTTCTGAGGAGGCAGTAAAGCCCAGGAAAGAGTGCCTCTGCTGACTTCAACATGCCAAAGAACTACCACAGACAGTCCACGCCGTCTCTGGAGAAATGTCAACATCTACAGCAGAATGATGCAAGGAACAAACATCCACAGAATATCCAGACCCATGGTAGCACCGTTTCGTAAGGTGTTGGACACAGAGCTCTGCGCTCACCAGACTGGGTAGTCTGCTAAATTATGAGGAAAAGCAGACGACGTTTTTCCTGAAGCCAGTGTCTACAAAATTACATCCGTTCTCACTTTGTTAGCAACATAGCTGACCTTGGTCTCCAGATATGTCAGTACTAATCATCTTTCTTGACGGCTGAAAATAGATTTTTTGGTGCACCTGTGGTATAGCTGAAAGAATGTGTCGGGATGTATATCTCCTGAGCTAACTCATGTTGACCACTAAGTGCAGTTGAAGAGCCAGTGAGATGAGTGGGGGAAGAAGCTTGCGACAAATCTGCAGACTTGAGTTTGCCCCCGAGCCTCTGTGGTAGAAGGGAGACCCATCTCCCTTGAAGCTGTCCCCTGACCTCCGTATGCACGCCATCCTACACTTGCACAAACAAATGCGTGAGTGAGTGCAGGGACACAGAGTAAATCACGTTGAAAATGCGTAATGTTCAACTTGAAGGCTGGGCCGGCGCTCACTGGTGGAATGTTTCTTTAGTTTCTGGAAACCTAGATTCCACCCCAGGGTCAAAGCTAGAGCGGGAAAACAAAGTGCTTAGAAGCAGTGTCAGAAGTTCTGACTAGGACTAATAGATAAAGTTTCTTTTTAAAGCACTGGATCTGCCAGTCTCCAAACACGATCAAATAAGTTTATATTCCTTTTTTGTTCCTGGATTTACTGCTGCTGGAATCACCACATTTGATAAGGTCTGTAAATGTTCTAAGGAGATGTTTTAAGCAAATACAGGGAACAAAAAGGATCACTCCATAGAAAATACTTTGATGTTATAGTGCAGTGTCCAAATTTAGATAAAAACCCCAATGCTTGTATACTGACATTTTCAAAGAAAAAATGCTGCTTGCCTTAAACTAATGCCAAAACTATCAATATACATAATAGTATATTTTCAAATTATCCCATTTCCAGTGAAAGTGTGGAAAAATTATTTGGAACAAGAAAAATGGTGTTAGGCACCCAATTTAGCACTCAGATTTCATTTTACAATCTCATCAGTAGAGGGAAAGAGAAAATACTCAGTTAAGTGCATAAAATAATGTTCAATTTTTTAAAAAACTAATATTTTTGGTTTTTGCAGAGAGCTTTGTTATGTAGTTATGTAGCTCAGATCCACTTGCCTCAGTCTCCCAAATATTGGGTGTAAGCCCCCATGCCCAGCTCCTTAATTTTTTAGCAGGGGAGAAGGGTCTCACTCTGGGAATCCCTGTAGACTTTCAACTCAATATGTTAGACTAGGCTGGATGTGAACTCAGAGATCTGCCTGCCTCTGCAAGCTGGGATTAAAGGTGTGTGCCACCGTGCCTGATTTTTAACTTACTGCTAGAACATGCTTAGAAGGGACATTTGGATCATAGTGTTAAATATTTTACAACATGTATTTCTGTTTTATGCTATAAATCATAGAAGGTTATCTAATTACCCAATGAAGCTGCCTTTTTGAAATTATGAGGCTCTTAAGCTTAAGCAATAGAAACTTCATTTGTATGAAAACCAAAAGTGTAAATATTAAGCAAGAAATCAGAGAACATAGCTCTAAGTTTACCTTTGCTGTACCAGTATTAGACCGTAAGAAAGACCTTTGACCTCTTGAACATCATTTTTTTCTGGTTGATAAAATGAACCTTCCAGACTCATGTATTGAATTCTATGACATTATTTTGAAAGCAGATAGTGTTGAAAATATTTGAATACAGAAAACATTATACAAGTATGTTGCTGACTCTGAACATATCATTATATTTACAGTAGATAGAATTTTTTTCTTGTGCTCTTTCTTTTTATTTCTGTGTGGTGGCACCAGAAGACAGTGTGCATTTTCATGGACCCAGGGGAGTTCTTGGTTGTCGTTTGCCCTCTGTCCTTTTTTGGCTTTTCGAGACAGGGTATCTCTGTGTAGCCTTTTCTGTCCTGGACTTGCTTTGTAGACCAGGCTGGCCTTGAACTCACAGAGATCCGCTTGCCTCTGCCTTCCTGAGTGCTGGGGCTTGTCCTTCTATCTCTCTTGAGCCACTGTTGAATCACTTTCTCTAAAGCATAAGCAATAGAGCAGAAAGGCCTTGGAGACTTAATCCAATCAGTCATATTTCAAAGTGTTTTGTGCATCTTTGAAGCGGGCATTTAACTGTATTTTAAAATATTAACACTTGTGTACACCTTCTAGGGTTGTGTATTTTTAATAATGCATATGAAAATACAAATTATGTCACTGTGAAAGTTTTGAATATTTATATTGTCAATATTTTTATATCCCCAGGGTGTTTTGTGGGAATGAATTCAGACTGTCCCTCCCACATGAAGCAGTCTATTTTTGCGGTTACAGGTCTAAATCTTACACTACAATCTCTCATCACATCCAAAATGGAGTGACATAAAATGCTGAATATCTAACAGTTTCAAGTAGAGTTACTTGTGTCTACTTGTCAAGCCAAAAAACTGAAATTTAAGGTGTAATTTCATTTTCAGTGGACACCTTTTATAATATTAATGCTGGATAAAGACTAGAGTCTGGTCTGAAGGATAGGCTGTGGCCCAAACTCAAAACGGAAGCTGGGATGACAAGTGGGAAGGCAGGGTTCCCAAAAGCTGATACTTGCACAAGCAAATTCTATAACTGTGTTTCTCCGACTCTTTGATTACTAGGGTGTGTGTGGGTATGTGCACATGATTGAGAAGTGTGAAAGGATAAGTAAAGCTGGACTAAGTTGTTTTTACCCTATAGAGATATTAAGTCAGTGATAAACTGGGCATGATGACACACACCTTTAATATCAGCACTCTGGAGGCAGAGGCAGAGGCAGAGGCAGAGGCAGACAGATTTCTATGAGTTTGAGGCCAGCCTGGTCCACAAACTAAGTTCTAGGACAGCCAGGGCTATGCAGAGAGACCCTCTTAGTGAGTGATGACTAGTAAAGTCACCCAAGTTAGACTGCCAAACATGTATACCCTTATAACCTTAACCCAAACTCTGTCTATATACAGATATATAATTGACCTATTTTTATACATTGTTATAGAGGATGCGGAAGATAATGCCAAAACAGTCAAAATATTTGCTCTAGGCAAAAACATTTTGCCCAGGTTTCTTAGAAAATCCCAGCACTCAGGAGGCAGAGGTAGGTGGATCTCTGTGAATTTGAAGCTAGTTTGGTCTACAGAACAAGTTCCAGTTCAGCCAGAGTTAAAAAAAACAAAAACAAAAACAAAAACAGACATACCTTATTTTATATTACTACATTTAAATTTATTTAATCTTATTTAAATACTAATAGACGATGTAGCTACCAAATTAATTACGAAATTTTAAAATGAATAAAAACACACCCAGTGTACAATAAACTTGTGCCTGATTGAAACTGCTTATCCACAGTGCTGATGCTCTCAGAACATGGAATAGTGTGATGACTCACTGTATGGAAGCTTAAACAAGATGTTCACGTGGTCAGAATGCTTTTCAATGTGACCTTTATGTTTTTTGCATCACCGTAGGAGCAAGTAAGAGAGACTTTTTAAGTCTGGAAACTTGAGGGTTTTGGTTTCCAAAAGCGTTAAGCACTTCACGAGCTTTTCACCTCATTGAAAAACTGAATCCCGATTAGTAAAACATTTCAAGAATGATGCATGTTTTTACACTGCCCTTGGTTCAATGAAATGCAGAACTTCTGAGTCCTCTGCATTTGCATAATTACTTAGATCTGATGAAATAAAGAAAATATAAGCAAGACGAAAAAGATCCATCTGATAAGCTGACTCATTGGTTTTCTCATAGCTTCCCAGAAAGAGTTAGACTGGAAATGCAAAAGAAACATCATCATTCTAGAGGGAAAGCACTTACGGCTAGAGCTTCTGTATTTTAAAGTAGTGGAGTAGCAGGGCCAGGTTCGCTGGTGCACGCTGGAATCCAGAGACAGCAGGGTCATTGTTCCGAGCAAAATCCCTTTATCAGTCAGTCAACAGTAGAACAGATGCCCAACCAGAGCTTACTCTTAGAAATCCCATGGGTGATGAATAGCCGTTTATGCCTCAGAACCTTTCCAAACCTCAAATGTTTCCACCAACCTTTTCCTGGGCACTCAGTCTTCACCTGTGTGACTTGGTACCTCTGTAGCGTCAGGAACTGCAGGCCTGGGTCAGGAGCTGTTGCAATCCGCATCAATCACTACACATTCTAGTTCACTTGCTGCATACAATAATGCTAAAAAGTAAAACAAAAATATTTTAAAGACATAATACAAGAGAATGTACCTTATCTCTCTGGGTAAAAATTTTGTTCCTATTAAAGCAGTGCCTAATACATTGTTGTAACTGTGACATTCAGTGACTACTAGCAAGGATATGCTGTTGAATTAGGTCTTTTAACTGTGAGTTCCACATATTTAATTTTAACTTATACATTCCATGGGAGAATAAATGTTTTGCTGCCATCATCTCTTGGTATTTTTTCCAGAATGACGAAAAGAGTAAAATATGGTTATAAACTTGATATATGTTATCAATGCAACCTGTTTTAAAATTAAGATTGTCACAAAAACCTTCAAAACTGTGAACTAAAATAAACCATTTAAGAAGTTAATTACTCAGATGTTTTGTTATAGAGATAGAAAGCTGAAAACATTCCTGATCACACACATTTCATTTCTTTACTATATAGAGTAAACCTTTTGGTTATCGTTCTATTTCACAACCAGGACATTAATTACTCAGGGCTAGACAAAGAGACAGAACCAGCATTATGCTTATAAATGAAGATATTTGTTATGTTGTGCTTGTTGCATAGCCAGTTTGAGCCTCACTTCTCTCAGGGAGGGTGTTAATTCCAAAATCTTCAGGATGGACACTCAAAAGGACTACCGCTTCAGCTGAACTCCAAGGGCCATCTGCCTAGAAACAATCAAAAAAGCCAATATTGTCAGTGAAGTCCAAAGGTGGTCTTCTGGAGAACTCCACTTCCCTCAGAGCAGCTCTTTCATTCTATTTAGTCCTTCGATTGATTCGATGACAACCACCCACATTATGAAGGCTGATACACTCTACTCAAAGTCCACTAATTTAAATGTTAACATCCTCTGTGGGGCACTCAGGAAGAAGAGGCACACAGCTCTAT